AAGTCTTGTCTTAGGTGATTTGGACAAGCCCCATTCAGCTGGTCGGGTGCCCAAGATGCTGCATGTGTCACCACATTGCATTCAGGGGCAGGTGTTTTGTTCAGTTTTGAGGAACTCCAGGTCACCCTTGAAAACACTCACTGCCAGTCACTGCAGCCATGCTTTGGCCCTGAGTGACTGAGGGCCCCTGTGAGAGTCAGGGACCGTCTTCCCTGACATCCCACTGTGTGGGGGCCTGAGCATCCTGGCAGCTTGTTCCCCTGCCAGCTTTGTGCCCAGGCCCTGCCTGCCCTGCAAATCCAGCTGCAGGTATGGGTGAGTTGGAGGCTTTACTATCAAAGAGCCTGAGCTCTTCCCTCTTCCCCGACACCCTCCCCAAAGACCCAGCCGCCTAATCAAATTCTTTGGCTCAGCTTATGAGCTCTGACAAGATCGCAGCCCAAGGAGGCTCGAGTACAGACTCAGCAATCCTTACTACATCCAGCCCAATTTAGCTGTGCTCTCGGTGCATCACGCGCACAGTAAAGACCTAATCTAAAGGTAATCATTAATTCGTTACTGCTACAAGGATATGGCAATCAGCAATAGGATGCTGATTGTTCAGAGGATAAAGTAATGGATTTCTTTGTTTTTTTAAACAATAACCACCCTTCACAGTTGTAACCTCTTTATAGACATATTGTAGAGCTAATGACAAAAGCGCGCACAAATTCATTTTTGCCCAAAGACTTTTTTACATGATGTAAAATTAACTTTTTGGAACTTCCTATTGCATATTAAAAACAAAAAAAAAATTAAAATGGATAAAACCTGAGCAAAGCATTTATAGCAACAACAGAGTCATCACCTCTGTTTGATAAAGGACTATAAGCCTTCATGCTGGCAGGCATAAGATGGTCATTAACCTCATTCAGTCAGAAAGAAAATGTCTCCTGTGAACAGGTAATTCTGGTATGGTGCGGTACAGGCTTTCTTGCACCTTTCTGAATTATTTGGCAATTACTGGAGCCCAGATATTACATCTGTCTAACCCAGGCTGACAACTCCAATGTTCCTGTGTGCAGCAAATCACAGAGAAGTTGGACCAGTGACTGAGCAGTGCCTATGGCTCCTGCCACTACCTCCTGAATTTTGTATGTGCAGCCCTGACCATACAACCTCCCAATCAGTGCAAGTGCAGAATCTGATATGATTCCTGGGAGTACAAAAATGGGATAGGAGAAATAAATCTACATTAAATTTGCCTTCTGCATTCCCTCCTGCATCCACAGGAGTGCAAACTGTAGAGTTTACTCTGAGGATTAGCACAGTTTAGCCTCTGTGGAAGATGATCTCAGAAAATAAAGCTATTGAAGATGGAGAGCAGGGATTGTCAGGTACTGGGCCCTTGTTTTCACCTCCACCATATTAGAAAAGAAGCACAAGCCTGTAACTCCTCTGTAAAAAATATTCCACTTTACTCCTGTCTCTTAGGCTAGCATTTCACTTGGATCTGCATTTTCCCTCAAAATTATCTCATCCAGCCTTTCTCCAGTGTACAGAGCCAGATACACCTAAGAGAAATGTCACCTCATGAAACAGAATTTTTACCCCAGCTGTAACACCCTTTTCAGCTATCCCTCACATAATGTCAGCTCACGTGGAAAGTCAGTGTAATGCAGCAGCAGACCCTCTCTAAGTATGAAAAAAAAAAGTAGTCCCCAAACTATTCCCTCCATTTCTCAGCTCTTTTAGGACAGGATTGACATGGTATTTGCTCTGTTTTAACCAGCTCCCCTGTAGGGCTAAGTGGTTAAACCTGGTATTGTCCTCTGGCAGCTGATCTGCATTACTAGGATCAGTGACCAGCACAAGCATCACTAGCTGCATTTTGGGAAAGTGCTGAGAGAAATGTACATCTCATTGTGGACTATCTCTAACTTCAAATCTGCTGATATTGATCTGTAAATTCTTACGAGATTTGGTTTCCTTCTCGGCTGGGAATACCTTCAGAGCAGTCCCTTGTGGCCTATTCTAGCACGTTTGCTTCTGATACTGCATTTTTTCAGATGATCCATCAACACAGTTATGATGGAGAGGATGGGCAGGGCAGAACATCACAATATATGTGATATTCCCCTTTTTAGCCAATACAACAGAGAGAAGCAGCTATCCACAGAGCCAAAACCATTAGCAGCAAGACCTTAGGACAGAGAGACAAGATTTCCCATGGAAGGCTGCAGCAGGCTTGGATCCCTGTGGATCAGGCACAATGCAGGATCAATGAGACCTAGTTGCCACTAGGCTCTCTAAAATCTCTGACAGGTGAGATGGACAGCAGCTCAATCTTGTACCTCCTTAGGCATCACTGCCTCTCCAGACAGTGAAGAGAGAGATGGCAATGAAAGTCGGGCAGAAGGGACTGTCTTGTGTCTTGTCATTACCTCCCTCCTGACCTTCAAATACTGCTCACTGGCAAGGTAGGATAAGAGAGCAATTTGGACATTATTATTTTTTCCAGGAAGGGATCCCTGAGGGCTATTACAAATATGGTCTCTCGGTCCCCTCCCAGCCCTGCACCACCTCATCCCCCAACCAAACACAGCAGCGAGAAGCCAGCAGGCTGCTGCAGCCACAGCCTCCTCTCTCCAGCGAGAGCTGGGGCCTGACAGCCCAGCAAAATGACCCACTTCTTGCCGACTCAGACAAAAAAGCTCCACTTAGGCCCCAGGAAAGTGTCTCTAATAAGGCCATCCGTTAGCTGTGTCGCCCGGACCCCTCTCAGCTATCCTTCATCCCTGCCCTCCCTCCCTGCCCGCCATTAATGCAGTCAGCACGCAGGAGAATGAAGCCGTCAGGCTCAGTAAATATTACTGAGCTCCACACAGGGAGCACAAGACCATTATTTAGACTCCCAGGTCTTGGGTATGTTTTGATCACACCAATTTAGCACAGAGAGGTAAAAGAAAACAACTGGCTAGTGGCTGTCTGCCACACCTATGTGTGTCCTGGTCTGTGAAATCCCAAATCCTTCTGGACTGGCCAAACCATTTCATGACTGGAAGCCTGGGAGTGCTGATGGCAAACCCTGGCATGAGTGGGTGGGGGAAAACATTAGATAGGTCCCCACCAAAGGTTACTTGAATTACAGAAGGCCAAAACTCATCCCTGCTCAGCCACTAAAGACAATTGTTCCAAAGCTTTTGTGTCTGGTGGCTGTGAGGAGGAAATGTCTTTTCTTCCCCTTAAACTTGGCTCTCCAGTTTCCCTCACAATATGCCTGTATGAGTCTAGTTATGTCTCTCTCTATCAGAAATCATAGGATGCTGTTCTACAGCTTGAGCTGTTCCAACAACCCTTACTCCTTGACAACGTGCACTTCTCAAAAGCCCTCAGCCCCTGCTTTTAACTCTTCCCTGTATTTGTTCCAGATGAGTTCTCTGCCGTCTTCTCTTGGCCTTGCCTCACACAAGGCTTGTCCTTCTGCCTCCATGCAATGAGACATCTATGCCCAGGAGTTAGCTCCTCCTCAGCTCCCACTGTGTAAAACAGCTCTGCTGCTAGCTCAGACATATCTGCTGCTTCCTGACTCAGCTCAGACCTCATCCTCTCCCCAGCTCCAGGTTGTTCATGGCTCCCTCTTCCCATTTCTCTGTTCTTGGCTTTTTGGCTCGAGGCTCTAATATACTCATTTACCCACTGTTGTGAATTGTTTTGCTCTGTAAGCACTTGAGGTACAGTTTGTGGGGAAAAAAATATCCTTAAGAAAATAAAGTTGTGCCGCACGGTATTTCGAAGGAAAGAGAGGCAAGCAGGTCTCATGAGAACTGGGTATGAATTTACCTTGCACATCCCCAGAGGCACAGGTACAGAAAAGTGCAGGCTGATAAATCCCTTTTATTATCTGTACCGGTATCTGAAGGCAGGAGAGGATTTTTTTAAAGTCTGTCCAGTCCCCAGAGTGTCAAATCCAAGGGCGACATTTGAAATTCAGTGGTGACAGAGTAAGACAGAGACAGACAACAGTGACCATGTGTCATCAGCCCAGAGTATGTGCCAAAGCCAGAGAGACAACACATCAAAATAGCTCACGGAGCTCCTGATATAATTAAAGAGTCACTAACCTCTCATGGAGCACTCTGGGGGGGGAAAAAAAGAAGAAAAAAAGGAAAAAAACCTGCTCGGCACAAACGGATGGCACGAATGCTGAGGCAGCAGCATGAAAGCTTAGTTCCTTCCACACCAAGCAAAGCTCTGCATTCTCAAAATGCAGCTCTATTCAGAAAAGTGACTATGCAAGAATGCAGAGTTTTCTCCACATTCTCCCCTGGGCTGCTCAAGGAGAGCACTCTTCACTTGCTTGACTAAAATAAACATATGCTACTATTTTCTCCTCACACTCCTGAAGGAGCCAGAACAGCTCTAAAAGTGGGACTGTTTTGCCAGCAGTACCAGGAAAGCTCCACCTAACTACAGGTTAGGCAGGCTGTAGCACCACTGCAAAGAGCCCAGCCTGCCTCTCAGATTTAATCATTGCCCAGTCTGGCTTTGGTTGGGAGAAAATGCTGAAAGAAAGGTTGGATGGAGGCAGAACCCAAAAACAGGCACTTCTCTCGGAGAGGACATCTAGGGATGAGATAAAACCATGCTAAAATGCATTATTATGAACACAGACCATCACACAGGCTGCTATCACTGTCCCTTAGCCGGTGATCTTTCAACCTGACCTCAGTACTCTCTCCATTACTCATTCTTCTCACTCATATGTTTCTCTCACAAGGTGCTGAGAAGAATTTGCATCTTTTTAAAGCATCTTTTCCCTCCAAGGCCCAGGAAAGGGAGTAAGTCAGTGACTGAATAGCAGACCTTAGCCCAACTCCTGCATTGTGCTAATGGGCTGTGCTGTCTCATGTCATGGAGAAAGAGTTGAGACACAGCCCCTCTCCTCCTTGCTAGGGCATACAGAACCTTCTTTTCTATTGCCCTACCATCTAGCCTGCTGCCTCCTCCTTGAGGATTACCTGTCTCCTTGGCTGATAACACAGATCTTCCTTTTATCAGCCAGCAGACCTGAGGAAAAAGGGCAGCAGAGAAAGAGCATTTAATTTAACCCTCTGATAAGGGAAAAGAAAATCCTTGCTCCATCTAGAAGTACCTGATCTTTCCTCAGATGCATTGGTAACAACATCTTAAGGTCAAACTGTGTATCTTGTAAAACATCTTTGCCTCCTCAAAGTGGTCCTTCCCCTTGTTTCTTTTCCACTTTCATTTTTCGAAACCAGGATATCTGAGGACATTCAACTCCTGCACTGCAAGTTTCCTACCTTAGTGGGGAGATGCTTCTCCTAGTCAGGTAAAACACCCAGCCTCCTCACACTGTAGAAGGGCAGCAGGCTTGTTACTTGTAGGAGCATGCAAGTGTACCAGCTTACCTGAGAATCATGTCCTGTACCTCCCCTCTCCTGGGAAGGTGATTTGATTGTCAGACCAGCACTGGAGGACTTGTGTTAAACATGTACGGTGTGAGAATGAAGGACGACCAAGGAAATAGTTAATGACAACACATCACAACTTTGGTTTGTAAAACTGATTCCCAGTCTGACTCAGCTTAGCAACCCTTTACCACATCATCAGCTAGATGCTTTCCTATGTAAACTTATTGGGTCCCTGAATTTCTGCAGTGGAAAGTCTTTGCAGTATTTCTATATTCTCACCGACTCTAAAATCAGGTATCTGCACCAAAAGCAGTGCCAATCATGCAGTGATCTGGCTTTGCAGAAAGCAGCTAGGGAGAGAGAGTTATGCTTGCAACGAAGCAAAACTGAAAACTAGTTTTCTGCTAATTTAAACTGCAATTGCCAAAACGTTAGATCAGAGCAACCCTGCGTTCAAATAGACTTGGGAGTGCATACCCATATCACGTCGCCATACTGATGTCTGCCTATGCCCTGCTGTCCTCCTACAGACAGGAAAAAAATCCCCAAAATATTTCTGATGTCAAACCTGGAGAAGACCTAGCCGGATTTTGGCTTAAGTGACACAGTTTCCTTTGCTGTTGTTAGTTGGCATGTGAGGTAGTGAGATGAGAAACTGTCAATAGACTCTGCTGATGACCTGTAGAAGGCCTCTACACTTCTCTAATCTGACATGGTTTAATTTTGAATGCAGCAAAGCATTGACAAGGATGTAGGCTGCCAAGGCCAGTCAGCAGCGCAAATTGGGCAGGACAGGCTGAATTGATCTGCAAGGAAGAAACGAAGGTGCAGCAGAAACTTTGGGCTATAGGTACCAATGGGGCAGTCTGTGGAGGGGGAAGAGAGAGAAACGTCGGGAGGGAAACAAATAGAGAGAAACAAAGCAAGGATCACACCACAGGAGGGAAATTATTGGTTTCTGGACAGTCAGAGGAGCTCAGTGCCTCTAACCCAAGAAAACCGGCTGGCCCAGGCTGTATGGCACATGGACCATATGGATTTCATCGCTGGGATGCAACATCCATCATCCCTGTGCCAGAAGCTGCAGCACAGTAGCATGGGAGGCTGCCCAAAGATAGTCTGTCACTGCACTTCAGTCAGTCCAGAGAATGACGCTCAACTCCAAGCTCTGCCAGAGGTAGAAAGGTCACCATCCATGCAATTCCCCAGCATATTTCTATCCTTCCCAAACCAAAGCTGAGAAGTGAATGTACAGCTATATTACTCACTTTCAAGTACAAATTAAAGCAGGATGGTCAACAAGATTAGTTGGAGAGGTTTTTTATCACTACTAGTGTTAGAGTTTATCGTATCACTAGGTTAAACACCTAAATCAAGAGGGAAATTACGAGAGTAGTCTGAGCCTACATGGAATGCTCTGCTCACACACACAGACTGAGGGCCACACCAAGAGCGTGTTTACCCAATGACAAGACCAGATTTTCCACAGTGACAGTACATATCTTGTAAAACAAACAGGCACAAAATATGCTCAAACACCTAACACCACCACTCGGGCCATCTGCTGAGAACGCTGAATGAGTACGCTGTTTGAAGTTTTCATTATTCAAAAAGTAGTACACTACTTAATTGAAATTTTCAGTGGTAGCTGTAAATATAGCCCTTTCTGCCAGTTCATGTCAGACAGACAAGAAACCTCAATAATGCTCTATAGAGTATTCAAACATTCCAAAATTTGCCAAATAATTTCTAGCAAATGACTCCAGAAAATACTGAAAGTCTCCAAAATCACAGAAATAAAATATTTAAACATGGATATTTTGCCAAGTTTGATTGTCATTTTGACCAGTCTTTTCTAGCATCAAGGATTGGCAGAACTTTGTTACTGCCATTTTTAATGCTTGCAGCAAAAAAAAAAAAAGGCAAAACTAAGCAGAAGCTGTCTGTATTCAGTCATCTGTCTGTCACTGGGCTGAAATTCTGCTCAGATTCATTAGGTGGCTTTCACAAGTTTTGAATGAATCTGATCCCCAGTTAAGCAGAATGATATCAGTAATGCTTCAATGTTATGACTCGATGGAAATGTTTGTACATTATCTGAGAATCAGAATATAATCATGTAATAAGCAAAATGCAATCCTTGAAAATAAATGCTGTCAAGCAAAGTGAAAGCCACACTATTTAGAAACAACAACAAAACAGTATTAGTAATACAGTGGTAAGACTGAAATCGTTCAAGAAAAGTGCTCTGAAAATGCCCTTTTCTCTGTATTTTGTGACAAGAAATAATACTCTGAAGGCAAGGCAGCAGAATCCATGGTATTCTCCATGTGAATGGAGGCAGCAGTTATTGTACTCAACGCTGTAAGAAATAATTCATTTTGCCATGTGTGCTGCTCTTAACAAAGAGAGGAAGCCTCTATTTAGAAAGTGAAGCATGAACTCTTACCGAGCATTAGCAATATCAAAGCTCACATTCACCACAATAAATAAATAAACCCTCTCATCAAATATACCACAAGACCATAATTATAAAGCACCTTGCTATGTTTGGTCTCTGCGTTTTCTTGCTTCCCTTGCAGGATTCAAGGATCCATACAAGCAGTGCATACGCACTGCAATGGGAGACAGGACTACAATTTATCTGACATGGCCACAAAGGTATTAAAGTAGCTGGAGTTCATTGACAACAGCAGCACTAAAGGCACAATGGCACAGATTTCAAAGAAAATTAGCCATTCTGGACACTTCACAGTCTCATTCACAGCCCATGCCAACATCTGTGCTGACATCTCACTTCTAATAAGTAGCTCTGAAGTTCAAATTAGGTCAGGTAGGACTATCCAGGCTTCAGTCACACATGTGATTTCTCTATAGACAAAACCTCCTCAACCACTTAGATGCTTTTGACAATTCCATTCCACCCACCATATATAACAGACCCGATGTAGTCAGCTTTTGATATGCAAAACTAGTATGGATGAAAACTTTGCAGGGGTGGAAATGGGTAGAAACGTCAGCAAAACATGAGCAACATCAGCAGAATTTGCCCTTGCTATAATGGAAGCAAGAACACAGTTTAGTCACAAGATAATACAAACTTCACTTGTAGTCTAGAAGAAATGGGAAGCCTTAGATTAGTCGTAGGAGGCCTTCCTTATGCTCCCTTATAGCAGGAAATACGTGGAGCACCATAAATGAGTGGAGGGTAACAAAACAGAGCATATAGGCTCTAACGTTATGTTTGGTTACCCCAGTTGGTGAAGTTACATCAGGCTAAAATGGGCGCAGCTGACCTACATGGAAAGGGAGCCCATCCTCCAGGTCCTGCCCAGTTCTGCTACCCACCAGAAACCCCAATGTTGTGCTATGTGGGGATGTGAGGCTGTGAGCTGTGAGGTAGCAGCCCATTACGCGCCCACTGTGACATTCTCAAAAATTGAAGCCATTCTGAGCAACAGGGTCTTGCATTATGTTTGGCTCTTGGAAGAGCTGCTTAAATATTTTCATTAGAGGCAGAGTATTTTTGGATGATAAAGATAATTAAGTGCTGAAAGCATAGCGATCCATTTGACACCGAGAATAAGAGATATGAAGTATTTCTAATAAAAACAGAACCCCTGGTGGGATTTGAACTGACTCTGTGTCGTTACAGTTTGAGGCAAGCGCTGCATCCATGATGAGACTAACACAGTCTCTTTGCTGGGTCTGCAATTTACCAGTCTTATATTGCCTTCACTGGGTCTCCCCTGTTGTTCTCCAAATGCAAAAATTATATACTACTGATCACTGCATGCTAACTTAAATTGATTTGTTCAAATGAACACAAGAATTATAAAGTTTGGGAAAACCTGTTTCCTAGTTGATGCCAACATCTATAACCTGTTCCTGAATTCATTATCCTTGCTCTCAATTTCCTGTGTGGTTTTTTTCATAAGTGGGTTTAAAAAAACACAGCTAGACAATGATGATGATGATGGTGGTGAAGAAAGCAGCTCCTGCTCTTTAGATGTCTGTTCCCCCATATGTAACGTCAGAATGATTAGAGTGTCTGATGTGATGAGAGTGATTAGATCTGTGCAAACACACACAGAGGAGGAAAGAGGTTGGCTTTGACAAAGCACTCAATTACCCAGGTTCTCCCATCGTGTCTGGTCCTATCACAATAGGAACAACACTCCCTCTGTTCTCCTGGGAGGGAATCACTGCCGCGCCTTTCCGCACCATCACTGTAAATCATGCCATATAGTTCTGTGCCACCCAGCTATAATTTTATAAATACCAGAATGAGTCAAGGCAATAAATCTACTGGGTTTTAATTATAAGTGTGCTTCTCTAGGTGTGGGGCTGGGTTGTTTTTCAGCTTCTGCTGATACAAATCATGTACATCTGCTCCTTCAACACAGCCAGTATTATTCTTTCTTGGGAAATCCTCCGCTACTGACTTACTACCAGGACTACCCTGGCACATGGATTGCTGTCTCAAGAGCACAAATATTCAGTGAAAAAGGAAAGGTTGTTTCCCTCTCCCTACTGCTGGATCAAAAAGCCCTACCCCGAGCAGGATCAGAAAACACAACAGCGGTGTGGAGTCACCTCTCCTGTAATCTTGATTTCCATTGATATTGCCTACATTTGCAATTTTATCAGTGCTCTGTGACTACAC